GAGGCAAGTCATTCTTGCTGAAGATGTTTTTTTAGATCCTCTCGATTGTCGTCGCCCCCTAGACGAATGACGACAGAAAATTCTGCACCCAGCTGGACAAGCAGTCACAATTTTAGTAATACGAGAACCGTGCCGGCATGATTGGCTTCAAGCTCAGCATTAATTTACTGTGTGATTCAGAACTCAGGACGGAATATCTGTCATGTGGTATGATTCAAGGCCTTATAGCAGAAAAGGCCTCTCAGCTCTTTCAGTGGGTAAGTAAACTCCGTAACTCTGCTGGTTGGAAATTCAGCTCATTGATGGGTCTTCATGTGTCCGCACTCCCCTCCAATTATTTCACCATTTTCAAAAAAACGGAATCAAGACCCTAACAGCATCTGTTCTCCATTTGTGCATCCATTCATGGGCATTTCGGTTCTGACATCATATTGTTCCTGCTTGGTTTTCTTTCGACATCCCCTCGAGGCACATTCATCATCCCCCGCAGCACATGACCCATATCTCCGCCAGAGATGGAATCTTCCACTCAAATTCCGCGACGAGGATTCATCACAACGATGTGACCCTTTATGCTTTGGCTACGTTCGAATACAACTGGCTTTTTTGAAACAATTCGTCAAAATAGCTGACAGCGATAAATTAATCCTGTTTCCATTGTTTCAGCTCTCGAGTGATTCTCTACCCGTTATTCCTCCCGCTCTCTCAGTTTCATCTGGAGAGAGAGACTGCAATTTCCAAAGTCTCCCTGCGATGATGCAACAAAGCAACCTTTTATGATGATGATTGCACTAAATTAGAAGCTAACTTAAAAGGAAGCCGATTTTCCCCCCTTTACACAGCACAGCGATGATCGCTTCAAATGCCTTTCTCAGCCACCCCAATCACGATGCTGTATTCTTCCGGAAGAAACCCATGCAGATTTAGAGGGGAAAAATTGTTAATGGAAGGAGTTGGCGGATAATTAAATCGCTTGGCATTTGACAGTTGCTCCTTCACAGATTAAATTTCTAGCAGTTGGCTTTTTTTTGAAAAATCCTTTGCTCCATAATAATAATAAATAACTAAGTTAATAATAATATTATTATTAATACTGAATAGAGTTTGTTTTGTTAGAGGAGTGTTTGTCTGTTCTTCCATAGAAAGGAAGGCTTAAGATAACGAATGCGCCAATTTAAAGAGGTATTTTGATTCAGATGAAGTCGATATATCGGTGTACTTGGTGTGTTAGCTTGATACAATCTTACCTCCAAGATTTGTAACTATGTGTATGTATCATAATACAGAACTTCCTTCGCATTCTGTACTAGTTATACGTCGTACATGTAGATCTAAAATACTCAACAAAGATCGAAGGTTCAAAGCTCATCAAAACTAACAACTTCATATCAAAAGCTAAGTTGTTTAAAACAAAAATTGTGAAACAGACCTAGATATTTTATTCTGAAAACAGAGATACAATGAGAATCATAGGGCGTTTTTTGAAACAAACTAAAGAATGTTTGGGAATTTTTTATTATCCAAACCAATAAGTTGGCAGTGTATTTCCTGCTGATAATCCCTACATCATTTTCTATAGTCAACCAAGGTAAAATCCAACCATTGAGAAAAAAGGATGTCGTCTTGCTGGCAATATAGATCGTATATGGTCGGTCAATCATCTCTGATGTCATTCTCTATTGTGTCTCAAATTTCACTTGATATTGCAGCCCAGCTTATAACAAATAGCTTTTGGATGAACCTATTCATTGGGCGCATGCGCTGTACAATAGATATTCTTTGCAATGTCGTTTTAAATATGATCCAACGCTGGTATATAGCTACGAGAAAAACTACTAAATGTTGTTACATTTAAAATTTAGCTGTAGTTGGCAACTACTAAGTAAAAAGGCTAGCTGTAACCATTAAGATTTGATAGTGAAGACACAGGTACAATTGCAGGAGAATGTACAGTACCAACTGAAAGGAAAGGAAAAGGGAGTGGTAATTGGTATCAAGCTTCCCATCACTGCTGTTTTGGTCGCTGATGCATTCATGGTGTTGTTTTACCAGTGTATTAGGGCTGCACCAAAGTAAGCCGGGGTACAACTAGATTGCTCCCCAGATTAGTGGTTTCCGGTACTGCCAAGCGCATATAGGCTGGGTGAGGAGACCCTATGTGGCCAAAATGGTGCCTTTCATACGAATGATATTGGTGAGAGGACGAAGTTAAGCGGATTACTGTATTGCAGACGCACAGTTTGCCATAAGATTGGCCAATCAGAAACTACTCCACCATCCTCCTTTTTATCCAACTCGCATTCTGTTTTAGGTTGGGGCCTGAACTCAGTATTTGCGGAGAGCATAATAGCAACTTAATGCAAACACGGACCGCTGTGGCTAAACTCATCATAAAGTTAAGGCACGAAGAATATTCCGCCCTCCATTTTTTATATCGGAAAATAAAAGAGGGAGAAAACGACCAAAACGATCAAAGATGAGTCATATTTTCCAAAGTTCAGTAATAATAGATATTATTTGAATCCGTCAGACGAGTTGCTTTCGAACAACTAAATTGATCTATTCAACTTTCGGGTACGGTATTTTGTTATTGATTATTGACCGGGAAAATATATCATCGCCTCTATTTCTAATAATAAGAGCTATTGAACTGGATACCTCCACTCACAAAATAAATTATTCTAATAATAATACGGACTGTAACGTCATGGCCGTTGCAAACACTAAGTGCTAATTTCGAAGTTTCCACAAAGTTTCGGAATAATCTTTCGTTATGGTTGCGCACTGCATGGTAGGTATTTTAACTTTAAGGTTACATGAAATAGTACCTGGGAAGGGGAGTCTGACTCACGTGGTATCTGTGGACAACACCTGCAGAGCTGCCAACATGAAAATGATTAGAATTGCAAATTACTTGTATACATACCATATGATGATGGAACGATAGTTTTTTTAGACATCGATGCGCTGCCTGCACGGTTAGGTTTTGGATCTCTGTATTTCCTGTTGGCTACAGTACTATCCATTCGACGGTCCCCGGATCACCTGAGGATAATATAGAATGCGATAACCTGTTCTTTGCTCTGAAGTTAACTGATTATAACAATCTTTCATAATATAGTTATAGAGCAACTCTGAGGTGCTGATGGATAATTTACTGTTGTAATATGGGCAAATGGGCTAAACCTATAGAAGAATGATATAAATACTATTCAATGTGGATAAATGAATCCGCCAGAGAGACCAGTTCAAGAAGATTAAAGTAGATTGTGATATATTATTCTAACACACTGCTGCCATTGATGTTTTTATTTATTAATCGATTGAATTATTTACTCCTAGAATTGTGAGTTTATTCAGTGTCAGGATGCTATCTGGAAAGGGGTACAGCTGCATCTGTCAAAATCCAGATTCACCCTTGGAAGCTCAGCGCCCGGAGCCCCGTCAACATTGCCTTGTCCATGGAAGATTGGTCAGACGAAACCCAGCATACATCTTCAACCTCCAAATACGGGCGGCGAGCCACTTTGCTCTTGTACTTGCTCCCGCTCCTGCATCGGAATCCCGAAGCTGTACCCCTTGTCGTCTTCTACTTTGTAACCCCGGTATGTAAGGGGTTTTGTATCCTAGTTGCGCAGGTACCATAGTACACCCCTCCAGTCGGTGTCAGTTCCCAGTCTATTTTTGTAGATCTTGTAGGACAGCGTGTTATCAGGTCGGGGGGAGGGGGGGAGGGTGGTTGCGCATTCCACTATTAATCTGTGCAAGGTTTCAAGTAATTGAGGTGTGGGACGGAAAGCGTCGCGTGGTGGCTTCAAGCCTTGATGGTCAGTTTGATTGTTTAACTCATGGCGGCAGAGTCTAATACATCTCATTATTCCCAACTATCTTCTTTCCGTTTAAAAATGTGTAGTTAAACCAGAAAGTTGCATAATATAAGAAGGGCATCTGTTTACTTTCACATCGACCTGGAGGGTCAAACTCCCCAAGTCTTACTTCGGAAGCGTGCCATATACATAGTAAGTTAGACATCATTCTTTCTTAATTTCACGTAGTGAACGGATTTACTCACTGACTTCTGGCTTTGGATTTCATCTGCTAGGATATTTGAATGGGGAATAAGGAAGTGAGTTGCCCTCCAAATGCCATTCCTTCCTGCACTGTACAGGTAGAGCTGGAGTACATGACGTTGATGATGAATCATTGACCCACGATAAGTTCAACACAGCTGGGAATCCAGCAGCTTTCCACTGTCCTGTACTCCGTACGCTGACTGTAAGAACGGTATGTCGTGTACAGAATATTATATTGTGTACACTAATGAGTTTGCGGAGGTACTGTATGTAATATCGCCCAACCCCCACTGTGGCTATTACTTCCAAAACGGAAGCTCTAATAAAAGCCTCATTGGCCATTCTTCTTCCACTGGTGTAATTTTTTGTGGGGTGGGTTATTTTATGGAGCGGTAGCCATCCTTCGGCAAATAATCTGATGGGTGGTAATAGGAGTTATAGGACAGAAGTCAAGGTAAAGGGACTGCTCAAATGCTCCAAGAGTACATCTGTACATTAAGTTAAAATGTCTCTGTTAAGTTAAAAGCGATTATTTTGATCTTTTTTCGTTTCGTAATTATGACGATATTTTGCATTTTGTTTTTTTCTGCGCTAGCCTTCGTGATCGTAAGCCAAAGACGAAGCAGAATAAGATAAAATACCAACAGCATCACAAGTTACACCCCCCTGGGGGTGAGCGAAATGATTAACCTTGGAACTGTGGAATCCATCTTCATTAGCATGCTGCATCCATCCTAGTGATCGGCCGCTTACTGCTCGTTACAGCAATACATAAGCCAATACAGGAGTGGTCGCGTACTGGTTTGGTAAGCGGGTCAGGCTATCATACCGGGCCTGGCAAACCCAGCAAATAGTAGGACACAGCGCCTCATCGGCTGACTGCCTTGTATGTAACGTTCTCCGTCCCGGTTACGTGACCGCACCAATAATACGGGCCAACCTCCACCTCCAGCACAGCACCAATGCTACCAGCGCTACCACTCCACTACCAGCGTTAACCTTCCACCCTTGCCCAACATCCCCGGCTACTCTCCCCATCCACTGCTCCACCGCCAGGAGAAGAGTCAAGCCTTCGCTCACCCCAGCGCTACAGCCTGTTAAAAGGACCGAAAAGCCAGAGACGGAGACTGCCTGGCAAACGGCGACAAGAGGGCCTTCCCAGCACTCCACGGTCAGCGACGTCGATGAGAGATAGCGTCCAGTATTGTCTTTCTGTCTCCATTAATCAGCGCTGTTGGCTTCATTTTGCCTCACCGTCTTTCTCCTCGTTGCCGCCGCTGCCAGGTGTTTTTCTCTCTCTCAACCAGCGAACGCTCACACCTCTCCTGACTTTTTGTCTCCCCTGCCGCTGTTCCTCCCTCAGCGCCTTACAAGGTGATCGACTGGTTTCTTCGCTATACATCGGTTTTGCTAGACTCTACTTTTCTCACCTTATATTTCCCTCATCTCTCACACGTTTCCCCCCTTTGTCTCCTTGATACATCATCACCCCCCACCCAAAAGGGCTCTATACCACTTCACCCACTCGACTCGTAGGGCCCTGACAACTTTTCGCCCGCCATTTCCGTTCTCCCCAAATTTTCCCTTTCTCTCTGCGGATCATTTATCCATTCCCGAAATAAAAAAGCAGCTTCTCGATTTATAGCCGCCTCGTGGATTGATTTCTTTATCATAGCTGTTGGCGGTCTCTCACTAGCTTGTGTGTTTACTGTCCTCTCGAACAGCTTCTTTTCTTCATCCGTCGTGGCCAACCTCGAGATCTATTGCCATCTGTGTGATATTTGAGAGCTGGCACCTCGTCATTTTTCTTTTCAGCTTTCTTTTTTCAACTTAATATTTTCACTTGGCGATTTGGGATCCATAGTATCGCAGAATGGCTGTTGGACCTGGTGTGGACAATAGATCAGATCCAGTGCCGGCAATGCCATCTCCAAACGAGAATATCAACAGCGTGCATGTCTCGGCTCTTTCGTCTTCGTCATCCTCAATATCGGATACTGAACATGATCGAAAATCCAGGGCTGACCGTCCCCGCCTGGCGAGTCGGAAACCCAGTGCCTCCATTCTTGTCCCCCGCGACCATCCTGAAATCGAGATCGAGAAGGAGGAATTCCCCCCGGACGACGCTCGTGCCATGAGTCCGAGAAGGAACTCGGCAGATGTTGAGAAACTCAGTAGAGAAGCAAGAGAAGCCTTACAAAAGTGAGTTTCGCGCAAAAAGTACAATCGATCAACAAAGGACTCTTCTCTTACGTGATATAAAACTCTTTCCGGTTGGCTATAGTGCCATATGTTGTTTTTTCACCACCTTTGACAAAGTTGACATGTCCCATGTCTTTCTGTATATGAAGCTAACCCGACGCGTCCGTGCAGGCAAGCAAATACCTTGCAGTCATCTCTGCAAGCCCTCGCAGAGCGCATTGATGAGGTCAAGTCAGACCACGACAAACTAGAAAATGAGAATAGATTCCTACAGGACTATATCGGTGATCTCACACGGACGATGTCCGCTAAGACGGAGGTTACATCGACCAGTGGTGTCGGGAAAGGCAAGAAACCACAGAAGTGATCAGTTAAACCCGGGGGGATGTTGAAATGCGTTTCCCACCTCTTATTTCCGTTCTTCCCCCACCCACTCTCAAAATAAACAATTGGCTGTTCCCTTGGTCTCGACGACCAGGTTGAGGACATAGCGACTCATACCTCGAATTCATCTTCGATCCATTCATGATACTATTACGCATTACGACCCTCGATCAGCAGCGTTAGCATAACCTTTATTATCGCCTATAATACACCCTTAATCTTCTTAATCATGTGGAGTCTGTACCTCCAAATCAAACACACTCCCCACCGCGAAAGTCGACTGCAACGCATTACTTTAGTCATTCGTTTCTTGAGCGACGTGTTCTTATCGTTATTGAGTGGTTGCGAAACGAGATTTACGTATTACGCCTCGTTAGAATCACCCCCTTCGATCCAAGATACCCCGTCAGTTTTAGACACTAGCAAGTTTTGCTTGCTTCTTTATTCTTTTATCCATCTTCGCACGAGTCGTACCCCGTTCTGTGCGGAAATAGAGAGGAAGAGAGGTATCGCCAGCCCGAAATCAAATCCAGGCATTTTATTAGGCTAGTGGCAAGCCGAGTTTGTGAGCATGTGGCCTCATCCTGACTAAAGAAAGACAAATATAACTCAATCGTCAGCAAGAAACAATACCCGGATTTCTCCGTGCCCATACTGGGTTATTAATCTCTTCGTTCTTTTCCGTCTTCTATCTTCCGTAAGAAGAAGGCGCGGCTGTGATCTCTGAGCTAGGTGATGGTGCGTGCATGGTCTACGTAGCCCTCAAATCGACGCAACTATTTTCCTCGCATCTGCGTTTTCTGGGTCGATGTGTAGTGCGCTGCTGCGCTGCTGCCCTTAAAAAGCCCCTATCACTCACTCTAATCGAGCCGATTTGACAAAGGAGACGGATCTAAACTTTCTGCATATGACTGCACATAAATATGCTCAAACCGATGGCTGAGACTGGGATCAAATGCTACGATTCTTCTTTTCAACCTTTTGTCTTTATCAAGCTTTCCGATCCCCTGCTGAATCAGGAGTGCAATATATTCTCTCCCCTTGTCTATCAGATACTTAATTTTCACCTGTGCCGTGTATGATTTTTTCCTTCCTCAGACCCTTTCTTGCGGATTTTTTTTTCCCTTCCCTTTCCTTGAACAGAGTTATACTATTTTGTTATTCGCTTCTGTGCTTTTTCTGTTCCTTCTGGTTTCTTTATGTGCTCTTCTGCAGTTATGGGCTCCAAAGCAGAGGCGTTGAATTTTCTTTCCACTTTTTTCCTTCTACCACTATTTCATCCCCCTTTTGTCCAAATTCTCTTATTTCATTCCATATGCTTCTTTTCTTATCTTTCCGACATTTTACATAAAATTCATGTCGGAAGAAACACACCAGGCGTGGTTGATGGAGTTCATATACGTGTGTTGAAAGGGCTTGGTGAAATTCTTGTCTCCCTCTTTTCTTACTATGGATGGAATTAAAGGATTTGTCGCATAGAAGGGGTGGAGGGAGCTTTTACTGGACTGTTAAGTTCTTCCGTCGTCTTCTCAAAAAAAACCACAAGAAACAGAACTAAAAAATATCATTTCTTCGGGCTCGGTGGAAAGAAATAAATACCATGCCATTCGCACGCACTCACATACACACACATATATATACATACCTTTCAACTTATTTTTGCGTTCTAGACTTTTCAACGCAGTTCCTGGAGCCCCTGCTTTTGCTGCTCTATCACCCACTACATTATGTCGTCTTTTGTCTTTTTTGTTTCGGTGCCGCTTTGTTGCCTGAAGGATTTTACCATCGTACATTATGAGAATATGTCCCACTTACTTAGCTCTTACCTCCTTCCCCTCTATTTCAAGCACCCTATACAGAATCCCAATCCATCCATTTACCTATCAAACATGGCAAGTTTTTGAACCTAGCTTTTATTCTATGCTCTACCTTATTCCCCGTAACCCTTTTCCCCACACATATCTCATATGCCCTTCATATCACAGTATCCACAGAGTACATGTACAGTTCAAGCTAACGAATAAAAAGAACAAAAGTAGAAAATTCGAATCAAGGACATGCTTTAGTTCCTTTTTAATTTTGCTCCTAAAAGAGAGAAATTTCATTAGATATCATACATACTCTTGGTACTGTACATTTGTCGTCTTCGTTTTTCTTACGGCCTAAAATTTCCATATGAAATTCAGCTTTGCTCGACTCTATTACGTCTCCTTCGCGTAACGTCCATGGGAAATTTTTTCGAAAGGTAAAAAACGTATTGAAGAAAATGGCTGCCGGGCAAAGGTTTGTCTTGATTTACTTCCTCTGCGTTTGGTTTTTCAGATAGGAGTAATTCAGCCACCCCATGCATGGTTCCTAGGTAAATATACCAGTAAGTGCTCAAAAATAGAAAAGAGAAACGGGACGGCTGGGTTGGAGGAAAAGTGTCCACTGGAATAACCTAAGATTCACCTTCAAATTTCTCTATTTTTTTCCCCCTCATCTGTTTTCACTTCCCGTTTCCCGCTTCCGCGGCTGCCGCGTATTACTTTCCTGTAACTGAAATTTGAGAGGTAAACGACAAACGAATCTAATTTGTAACTCATAAATCATTAGATACTACCCACTATTATTATTTATAGATAGAATTAAAAGGGGGAAATATATGTATAAGAGATGTTTTGTTGATATAGCAAAGGTCATCAACATCATCGAACACGCACTCCCATTTTGAAACTCGAAACAGAATAAGACAATGAATTAGTGTGAGAACTCAATGATGAGATAAAAGATGATCCAAATATATAAGCTTGTAATGTATATAACTGTCAAATAAAGCCATCACAATTCCTCACACACTAGGGTGTGAACAAGGGAAATCAAGAAATCCTGAGGGCTTGGAAGAAGCTGGCTAGATAAGATTCAATAAACACCACCCCCTCACTTGAAAATTAACTGCAAGAGGTCTTGGGTTTGTGATGAAAAAAGGGAGTCAAGATGAATATAGACTTTGGTGGAGATTGATTATTTATTGTGTTTGTTGGTAGATTGTGATTGATTGGTTAGTGATTGACTTAAGAAGCAATAAACAAACTGCTGGGGGTTTGGCTCTCTCTACTACTGACATGGCATTGATGATGATTGAGCTCTTTTGCCCCAGCGGTCAAACTAACATAAAGACATGAATCACAGAAATATATACATGTGCATATGTCTGCTGTTTGTGGATTGACATGACTTGAGAGAATAAAATATAGAGGTAATGTAAAAAGAGAAGCATATGCATTCATTCATCCATTGCTTTTTTGAAATGAAGTCCAATGCACACAATCATGGAAATAAAGAACTATTGAAACCCTGATTTGCTTGAATGCAAAGAGAGAAAGAAAGACCTGGCTGTATAGAAATGAAAAAAAAGAAACTTTAGCATAACAAAAACAAAAATGGAATGAAAAGTAAGAATGGAAAATGCAGAGAATTTGACAGGATCAGCTTTTCAGAATTTGAAAAGACGATGATAATCTCTTGTTCTGTTTGCTGTTGTCCCATCTTCTATCAAATCTACAGTGACTTGAGATTACGTCAAGAAATAAGTAAAATAACAGTTTTATTTTTATCTTTTTGAAGGGGAGGGGAAAGGCGAATGCTAAAAGAGATGAATATATATATCTGATGCCGACTGCGTTTCGTTTATTCATTTAATTTTGTATGGGGGTTTGGTTTGCAGGAGGTGATGATTTTGGAGTTTGAAGGAATTCCGAAAAAAGTTGGTGTGACCGCCCACGCTCTACCTACCCTATCCCATTTATCAAAAAAAAAAAAAAAAGGAAAAAAATTATTTTTAGAGAGAAAGAGAATACGGGAAATGAACGGTTGGGGGGGTGTTTCTTCATGGAGGAATGTTAAAAGCGTATTTGTCAACTCAATCAATCTTCTTTTTTAGTTTTCAATAATAAGGGGGAAGTGTGAGGTAGGAAAAAGATAAATCGAGAAAGTAGAATAATAGTTGTTGAACTTCCCAGCCGCTAAAATCAAGGAGGAACGAGAGTGGGAGATTAAGAGTGAGAGACAGGAGAGAGAGAGTGTGTGTGTCATTGGGAGATTGATGAGTGATGAAAAAGGTAATCAGGAGCTGGCGCGGGGTTTTGAAGGTAAATAAGGAACAGAACGAATATTTCGAAAAAGACGGGCAAAATAGCAAGACACACAGTTTCCCTTGTATCCACTCCTCCGATCTAAAAACAGCAAAAATACTCAATTATTTTCCTATCATCTACTCAGCTGCCTTAGGCGCATCCTCGGCAGCAGGAGGGGGTATAGTATCCTCCTTTTGCGCGCTGGGAGCCGCGGCGGAGCCAGCGTCGGGAGCGGGTTCCGCCTCGGATGATGTCCAAAGAGTCTTGAGCACAAGTTAGATATTCAATCGCCTACTTCCAGAGTTTGATTATGGGACAAGAAGAGGTAGTACGTACCAGGTTATCTCTCAGAAGTTGCATAATAAGGGTCGAGTCTTTGTAGCTCTCCTCACTCAGTGTGTCAAGTTCTGCGAATTGAAGTTAGTTACGCTCTAAAGGACAATCTCATTTTGAAGTAACAACGTACCGGCAATAGCATCATCAAAAGCTTGTTTGGCAAGGTGGCAAGCCTGATCTGGGGAGTTCAGGATTTCGTAGTAAAAGACGGAGAAGTTTAGAGCAAGACCCAGACGGATGGGATGGGTTGGGGCAAGATCGGTCTGAGCAACCTCAGTCGCATTTTTGTAAGCCTCAAGAGACTTGTCAGCAGAAGACTTGCGCTTGTCTCCAAGTGCGAACTCTGCGAGATAGCGGTGGTAGTCTCCCTTCCTAAAACCAACAGACAAATCAGCAAATCAGTCCAACGTACTAAACTCAGGAAAACAAAGAATTGCTTACATCTTGTGGTAGAAGACCTTGGATTCTCCAGTTTCCGCAGAGGCGATAAGATGTTTATCCAGCACATCCAAAATGTCCTCGCAGATTTTGGCCAACTCAGTCTCAATCTTTTGACGGTACTCTTTAATAAGAGCAACCTGCGACTCGTTGCCTTTCGACTCCTCCTTCTGCTCAATCGAGGTGACGATTCTCCAGGAGGCACGTCGGGCGCCAATCACGTTCTTATAAGCAACGGAAAGTAGATTACGCTCCTCCACGGTTAGCTCTTTATCTGCGGAAGCCACAATCTTCATATTTTCCACCATTTCTAATCCGGAGTTAATATCTTCCTTATCATGGTAAGCGCTTGTGGAAAATAGTAAATATCGGACCTACCTTCGTAGCGCTCAGCCTGCTCGGCGAGCTTGGCCAGATATACAGCATCTTCGTAACCCATTATGAATCAAGATTCCTACCATTGATATATTGTAGCGTGAGCTAGGGCATAACCAACATATTCAACTGGAAGAAGAAAAAGATATGAGGGGTTGCTTGTCAAGAGGGGGCTTCGCATTCATGGGAGTCTTGGAAATAGCATCAAAAAAAATCCCTAATAAAATGCGCAAGGTGGAGCTGTAATGTAGGAAATATGGTAAAGGGGATGGGTAAAAGAAGGGGAACAATTAGGAGTGGAATGCTTGGTGTTGTGACACTACACGACGGTAGTTTTCAACCATCAAGAGAATATGACGAGACGCAGATAAGTTAAAAGGATGGCAGAAGCATGGATATGGATGCAGACTACCAAAAATTACAACCCGAAAACATATAATCTTGGACAGAAATACCGATGGGTGTTAAAGCAGCGATGGAAGCCGGTTGCTGACGCAAGACAGTGAAATCACACACAGAAAACAAGAAACACTTCTCACCTGGGATAGGCAACGCGTTGTGACAAGTTAAGATGAAAGACAGATAAAGAATAAAAGTCTTGAGACGAGCAGTGGTTGATCGACAGAGGGCGGATTATCAGGCAGACCGAAAAGCAGACGTTGTGGGTGTGCAGAGATGGGATGGAGGGGAAGAGAGTTGGAACATCGGGGGAAGAAGAAGGTTGAAGATAGAAGAAATGGAGAGGGTGAGAGTGGATCAGGTGAGGAGGTTGAGCGGAGTAGTCAGCAACACGGGCCAGTCACGGCCCCAGCCAGCACGCTCTTTGGGCAACGCTGACAAGGCGTCCATGCGATGCACAGTTGATCATATCTTCAAAATGGCATTTTCCCGGCTACTATCTCCTCTACGTTTTACACCGGTCTTGAGCGGGTATGTTTCACGATTATCTGCTGGTACAGTACATTCAATATTCCCACGTTGTATCGAGCAGATAAGACTCGTATTCTATGCACGAATTTTTTACACAGGACTGAGCGATGATTGTGCATTGAATTTATCAAAGGTAAAAATTATCTGATATACATATGTCCAGCCGTTCGAAATCCATATCGACTGAGCCTCGTGCCCTAGACAGAATTTCAACGCTAAGAAGCGCTGTGCATATAAGGCGTAATTCTTGCTCTCGAGATGCAGTTGGCTGGGTGTTCCCATTTTCTCAATCACACTATTATTAGCCCAGCGATATCGCACAAACGGCGGCAAGCAGGTTGGCAAGGCGGCGATGAAGACAGTTCTTTCTTTCCTTCACAGACACTGGAAGAATTATTTTGCTTCCCCACCTTACTCCCGCTTCAGAGAGGCATACAAAGTTACCAGGAGAGTCGATATTGTTCGTTTCGCTTCTTTGATATGGCCAAAAGAGAATGACTCTCCATTTGTTATTGTTCAACACCGAAGTTGCCAGTTTACGAGCAGCTCTGAATCAAGTCAGATCGATCTACATAAAACATTAGCCTCATTCCTCATAAGAATTATAGTCGGTCAATATTTTCGTGACACTCTTGGAGCCATTCACTGTATTTCCGTTGTGTTTTCCTACAGTAGATCTGAACTGGCAGCAGATAATTGATGTGCCACCTTACATTTACCAGCAAATTATGCTTTAACTGTGGCGACGTTAGGGTCTCGCACGTGGCTGAGTCAGCAATGACGCATGTGCTAGACAAGGAAGCTAGCCTCTGGATGAACTGAGCCCTTGAAGCAAACCTCCACCAACAGCACTCCCGTCCATCCAAACAAACAGTCACTGCCGCACTAGCAAATGTACGATCTCTCTCCCTTTTATAAGAAATAGAAAGTGCTAGTAATTGGTGAAGGTACATCTCTGACGAATAAAGTTGCAGCTCTCCTTTCTGCCTTACCGCTCTCCCACCCAACTCAATTTCCTCTCAGCTTGTGTTCTTTACACAAACTCATACCCTGATCAAACATGCTGCGTCAAACTGCCAGGCCTCTTCTCCGCGCGAGCCAGCCACGCCTCAATCGATTGTTCTCCGTTGCTGCCGCAAGAATGGGTGAAGGTGATGTTGGCGCTCCCAAGTCTACCGGGAAATTGTCCACTACGTAAGCTTGCTTTGTTTTTTTCTCTCTCCCCCGCTCTCTGCGTCCACAAAAACTACACGTCACGACAAACGAGAACGCTGTTCAGATGGTCTACGCAAAGAAAAAACGCAAAGGAAGTTGAAAATTTTTTTTATCGGAAAGTAAGATAGCTAATGGATACTTAATTATTCGACGTTAGCAATTCATGGAGCAAGAAGGAAGCTGCCGATGAAGCCATGTATATCAAGCAACGGGAGATGGAAAAGTACGTTGTACTCCCTTTTTATCTTTATATCCGATCCCTCCGGCCGCGCTCCCTGATCCCCTGTCTTCCTCACTCTAGAAATTTGTGAAGGCAATTGGAGGATTGGGGAGGTGGACAGGGCAGGACCCTGGGAAATTCTAATATGTTAAACATTCAAAACGTATCGGACAGGTTGCGTACTTTGAGAGAAAAGCTGAAACAACAGCGCCAGCATCTCGATGAACTTGATGCTCATATGTACGTGCCTATATTTGTTTCCATTTTCCCACCCGTAACCCCGTGCTGCTTTGCATTTTCAAAGCACCATCCTCTATATCTATGTATATATGTATATCTGACCATTATAAATTTCTTTTACAGTGAACAACTCACCAGAGAACACGGTGGCGAACAGAACTAAAAAATCTACGGATGTACAAAACATTTTCTGTTTGGGTGGTTTTTGATTCTGTTTTCCACGTTTACTTGTGCATTTTATTTTGTGCAAAGTAGCCTTTGTAAAAGAAGATGAAATAAAAGAGTATATGTACCAAAAAAAAAAAAAGAAAGAAAATTTAGGGGCCAGAATAGGAAAATCGAAAAAGGAAGGGAAAGGAAAGTGAAAAATTAGCATTGGACTCATAGGTAGTTTTTCCATTCCTCTTTCTCATCTGTCTTTGAGTTTTGTCTCTCATTTTCATCATCTCCTCTCTCTGACACATCTTTTCATATACATACACATTTTAACGTGTCTTAAACAAGTCGAGTGGTGGGAAAGATAGTTGGAATATATATATCAATGATTTTCTCCCGTCTGTGATGATACTATATCCACCCAATTTTGTCATTATCTTCCCCTTTTCCCTTCTTATTTTATTCCTCACATTTTTCATTTTTTCGTTTCGTTTCTTATTCTTTGCATTTTTCCTGTTCTTTTCCATTCCTGTCCTGCTACAAGAGGGCAAGAAATCAACCCAAGACTATTACATATCTCCCGGTTCCTTGCAGGGTTTTCTTTCTTGTTTGATAGGCTGGGCTTCCCCTTGATTGCTGGTGAAAAAATTTGAAGGAGGCATTTATATGTTATTTGCTGATAACTAATCTGTCGTCGAGAGTATGGTTTCTTGAAATCCGATTCCCCGTTCCAAAGAAAGTAAGCAGATACTGTGAGACAACCACGTGTCTCGTGTAACGCTCTTACCCTATATAAAATGGTCCGCTTAGCTAGCAATTAATCAATCAAGCTTTTCACCTCTCACAGATACATATGCATACAACATCATGAGAAGGAAAAAGGAGAAAGAGAAGTTCAAATGGGAGAAATACATGCCTACAATGCCACCATAGTTACTGTTTCATTGCTGCAAGACATGGCCAGGGATTTTAACCCGAGAAGCTGATGGTTTTCGCGAAAAGCATCCTTGATTGTATAGTTGTGAACGCGAGTTTATACATATATGTTCGATTGGATTTCATCCGATGAGATGGGAGACAAAAATGAAAATAGGTAATCAGCCCCAGCCAACCGTATTCATTGAATTCATTCTTCTCCCCGCCCCGTCCCCCCCCCCCCCCCTCCTTCCTTCCCCTCTCCTTAGGATTGTAATGGGTGACAAAAATGGTTAGCGGAGGATTTGAAAGTGTACAAAAATTGGGTTAACTGGAGGGAAACAGATGACAGAGTGAAAGAGAAAAAGAAAAGGAAATCGGAAACCATGATCACAAAATTTTGGGTATATCTACAACGACCCAAATGAATCCAGAAGAGGTACGGGCTTATTATTTATGAGACAAAGTGCAGGCGTCTCTTGCAGGCTTTCCACCACTCCATCCATTACCTACGTCCCATGTAAGCTCTATAGAAGTCACCTGCGGCATCTCCGCCACTTATCCCATTGCCAGTCCCATTCCGATATTGGCTATATGAGCCCATATTTTGATGGACGCTAAGAGAGCTACCTAGCTTGTGCGAAGCTGCGATCTTTGCATGCAAATTTGCCGTGCCTTGGTCGATGAGTTGAAGTTGGGAAAGGTGAGAATTGAGGATGCGGACAATTTGAGATATCTGGGAGGTATGAAAAGGTTAGGATGAGCAGAAAGAGAGTGCTTTTGTAATATGAATAAATAGCACTTAGTGGGACATACCGGTTCGTCAGCCTTGGTGGTTTTGCTCAAAGTGGAGGAAGCAGAATTGACCTCTTCGATCATGCTTGTTAAATCCTGGGCCATTTCATTAAGGCGTTCGGAGAGACGTTCCGCGAGTTTGTACCTGCAAAAGGTTAGTTTATCGAAGTTGGGTGCAAATATGTGAGCTGGAGAAGATGACAAAACTGGATTGGTATTGGTATCGAAGCAATTTGGACTTACGTTCGTTCACGTTCTTGATCAGGTCCCTGCAATGAATCTGTAAAACCGACCTGCTTCGACAACAAAGCTTCAACCTCTTGTTCATAACGGTCGAGCCATGAGCTCAATTCATCTTGTTGTCCCTCAACAGATGCTAATTGCCGTTCAACTTCCTGCGTAGCCCTTTCTGCGTCGACGGTATTGCCGTACAGTTTCTGCACTTTCGTTCCATTTTCTACAAGCATCCGATCCCATTTGGCAACTTGCTCAGCTTGTTCTTGGAACTCCTTTTGGTATTTTGCTAGATCAGTGGCCCAGCGAGTAAGGATCTCATCCATGGTTTTATTTTTGAGCCGTGATTGTGCTGGGGGAGCGGGTCCCACTGTCGATGCACCAAGGCCACCGGCTGTCGCGGGCGTTGCAGTTGTGGCACCAGCACTAGTGACAGTGGCGGCGGCTGTAGTTGTTGCTCCAGAAGCAGAAATCTTTTCTGAAGATGACGTTGATGGAGCTGTTGTGGTTGTCGTCTTAGCAAGGTTGAACATTCTACTGGCTGGCTGACCTGATGAAGTAGCCGGGGTAGTCGAGTCTTTGGGTGCAGTTGTCTTCGGAGTACTTAGACTAGAAAATAGCCACCAGCGGGTGCCGTTGTCGTTGTGCTTGTAGCCGATGCAGTAGAAAGTAGGAGCCAGATTTCCAAAGAAGGGGTTTCTGAGCGGTGTCTGACATTGCGTTCGGTGTAAAAGCACTAGAAGAGGGTTTGGAGGTAGGGAAGCTCAAATGGCTTTTGTTGTGATTGACTTCCCGAAGGACCGGGAAGTGGTTGACGTTGGGGCTGCACCCAAATGTGGGTGGGGGTGGTTTTGCATCTGACTTTCCAGCCTCCGCGCCTTGAGTTTTGGCGGGTGAGGAAGTGAATAAGTTGCCTGAGTTTGGCGTTGGCATTTGAGTAGTGTTTGTGAAGAAACTTGGTGCTTCTGCCGTAGTTGCGGGAGAGTTTAGTGGCGACACTGCACTGGTTGTTGCACTGAAGCCTGGGAAGGAAGTGGAGGAAGTTGGCTTTTGTCCAAAAAGAGATGCTGGCTCATTGGCCTTTGTCGATGCTTGGCTCGTGAAAAGGCCCTGCCCAGCTGAGGTCTGAGGGGGTGGTCCGGCAGGTGTGGTGGACAGGTTCCCAAACAATGATGGTCCGCTCGATGGTGCTGGAGTAGTACTTCCAAACAAGCCGCTAGTGGCTGGAGTTGTTTTTCCTTGTTCCCCAAATAATACCGATTGCGGCTTGCCAGATGATGTAGGCTCCCCTAATTTAGGGGTTTGACTTGCATTTCCGAATAGGTTCGTCGTCGGAGTGTGCCCAACACTCTGTCCTGGATTTGAAGGTTTTGTTAACGTGTTGCCAAACGTAGATTTCGAGTTTTGACCTCCAAACAAAGAAGCCGTCTGCCCTGTTGTTGGGGTCGTCGAACCTCCTCCAAACAAGGGTGCAGAAGGCGGATCTGCTGCTGCTGCTGCTGCTGTTGTTGTGGGTGTTGCCCCGATATTGCCAAAGAGACCACCAGTAGTTTTGCCGGGCGCAGGTTGGGAAAATGGCGAGGTGCCCGCTGTACCAAATGTAGGAGCATTGGAACCACCCGATGTGGACGAGGTCCCGAACTGAAATAGGTTAGACATCGTGGCAGAAGATACCTGTGGTTTGTTTCCCTGGGTTTCAGAACGGGTGTTTCCTAGCAATTTGGCAGTCAGTACAGTAGACTTAGTTACATCTGGGATTTGAAGCAGACCTTGTCAACATTAGACGGGGAATATGAGAACGTATAAAGTGGTGCAACCTGGGGTAAATATAACAGTAGTTCGTGTAACCAGTTAGAGGGATATTATACGGGTGTTGGAGGAGAAGCAACAGCTCTATGCCCTTGTGTGGTTGAAGTGTTTTGTGGATAATTGTGCAGAGCTCCGTTTGGCGTCGCGGCGAGGTCTCGATTACAACATCATACAATGTTTTACACACGACATTCTACTCAGGAGAGCGTCGAGAAACGGTAACGATACAATAACTGGACTTTTGGCTCCAGACCGCCTTGGCAGAATCTCAGCACCCTTGGAAACGTCAAATGTCGGCCCAACTATATATCTTGCTCGTTTTCATTTCATTCTTAGACACAATTTTTAATAGTGCCATAATACACTGCGTTATATGTGCTGGTTAATGGGCGTTGATTTAGACGACTTGAGACCTTTACAATGGCAGAGCGGTGTTCTCGCCCTCCGAGCATTTTGTTGGAGCCGCCACCGAAAGGGGTTGAGCTGGATGACCCTGGGGCTCAACCATCTTGTACGTTTTATTTCTCACTGATACGTTTATATGTAGTAGAAGGAATGGCTGCTAACCGATATGTTGTCTGCAGCGTGCGAAAGTGAAGATGAACACTTTTCTGACGCTTCTGAAGGCATCGCAACCCATCTCCGTTCTCAAACGCCGTCACCAATACCCCGGACCCGCGTAGAGAAGATCGATGATTCTCCAAGCTACGGAGAGGTTCCTGGCTCCCCTGCATACGAAAAAAGGGTATTAGATGCTGTTCCGGATGAGATCGAGATTATCGGCAGCAGACTACCCAGCAGACCGCAGTCAAGTGCGAGCATAAGAGCTGCCTTGCCCCCAAACTTGGCTCCTGCTCCACGGACTGTTGTCGAGAAAATCGACCCAACCTCACCGAGCTACGGAGAAGAACCAGGGACACTTGCTTATGAATCCCATAAAGCAGATTCTGCACCGGATGTGATACTAAAAATCCAAGAACAGACACCTCAAACTTGCATCACATCACAAAATCGACGGCGGGATAGCGGCAGTGAGGGAAGTCCAGTTCCGGAAACCGTACTTTCCCGGGTCGAATCTCCACCTGAAAACAATTCGCGACGATTATTTAACGCACACAGAAGAAGCCCTAGTGATGCACTTCCAGATGTCATTCAGACAATTCCTGACGTTCCAGGTATGCCTCTCTCCTATTCCTTGTCCACCCTTTTCGGATTTCAGAGGGACGATTGACCAAACCAGGGTCTCCAAACTCTTCGACTAGTAGATCCGAGCATCGAAGCCATGTCCGACGGAAAAGCTCTGTAACGGAACAACAAGCCCCTAACGATATTTTTGCACATGATACTGCTGTAGATGATGACCAAGGCTTTGGTGATGATTTTTATGATTTCGAAGAAGGAGAAGGAACCATTGAAGAGGACGATTTCGGTGATTTTGGGGAGGCTGAATTTCCACAACCAATGGAGATTACCAATGAGAGTACGGCTCAAATTAACGGTGTCCCCATGCAACAACCTCCATCTCCCTCGCTTGTAAGTAGTCTTAGTATAAAGTACAATCCCAAGCATGCGTATACGGCATCGGGCGATTCGAGAAAACTTCATTTTCTACAATTTAGTCTACAGCTGATTATTTCTCCAAGAAAGAAAAGGAACTGTAAACTGATAGGTTATCATTCAATCTAGCCGCCGCTTTTAGATTTCGAATCTATAAAAAACCTCCCGGATCTTCTCGCAGCAACATCCAGTCACCTCGATGCTATATTACCCGGTTCCGCAAATCTTCCATCTCTCCCTCCCATTCCGCCCATCCCAGACTCCTCTGCCATATTCATTACCGAACGTTCTCTTTCACTATGGTCACAACTTGTCTCCCCATCCCCTCTCCAACCCGCCAATTGGACAAAATCCCGTATCCGCCGTGTCTTCCTCGTCTCCCTAGGTGTCCCCGTTGACCTAGACGAGATCCTCCCCGCCTCGAAACAGAAAAAGCTTGTCCTACCTTCGATAAATCTCGAGGGTAATTCTTCATCCTCCTCTAACATAGCCGCCGGCGGTCTGTCCTCCACTAGTAACGCAAAAAAGGACTACCAAGGACACTCCTCTACCCTTCTTGACTCAGCTCGCTCCACATCAAGCAGCCGTCCGCCGCGACGTCGTGGTCTCGAACCCCCCCCGGAACTAGATCTCTCAGCCGTCCGTCGCTTATGCGCCACCACAGATGCAGCACTGGATAACTTCACTGACGATGAACTGGGACAGCACATAGCACAACTGGAGAGGATGGCCGTACGCGCCAGCGAGGTATTGGAATACTGGTTAAAACGTCGCGACGCGCAAATTGGCGAGAAAGAGGCGTTTGAGGGTGTTATTGAGAACTTGGTCAAACACGCCAGGCAGGTGAGGAAGTAAAAATAAGATAGTGTTTGCCTGTTCCACGTGGTGGGATACATACATATCCAGGGCCTCCTCCGTAGAGTGCTCATGCGTCTATTCGTCAGGTCACAGCCACAATACCCTCTTCATATCATTACCATTCAGCAAACGATATACGCGAACATGGAATCCCGAAAGACAAAAAAATTAAAAATAAAATAAAATAAAATTAGCCCAGCGTAAAGGGACGGGAGCTCAAAGGGACAAGAAAACAGAAGAAAGTGATAAAAAAGCAGGTCTTTTCTTTACTTGCTTCTGCCTAAAAAATCTTATATCACGAAAAGAAAAGAAAAGAAAAGAAAACAGGGGTTCCCTTTATTCATTTGTCCATCTTTCCTAGATAAGCACATAATTTGCAGGAGTTCATTTTCCTCATCTTATTTGCTTTCATGCTCTTCTTCTTCTCCTCCTGAATATGAATATCCTCCCCTATTTCCCCCCATTAGTCCCATTTTAATAAACAATTATATGTCTATATATATATATATATATATATATGTACGTATGTAGGTCAACGCGTTTACTTTTCTACTATCATTATTTCTGAGATGTGTGAAGTTTTGACTTAACTCCCTCAGAACTTTGCTCAATAAGTCTGCCAAGATCATCAACTCAGTGGAGTTTATGGTATGACACATGGAAGGATGGGAACAAAATACAAAAATCGATCCATGATGGATCGATGTATTCATAAAATTTATATATATGGGTGTGGATGGACCACAATTGAGCTTTGGCAGAAATTTTGAGCTCAAATCCTGTCTAGACCAAAGCAAAGTGGAAAGTAAAAGATGCAAGTAAAGATAAAAAATGCTGTTCCTCCTATTTCTACTTGTCCTATTGAAACCTTTTTGTTTTTGGTGGTGCGGGGCATTTGGAGTAGGAGAATTCGTGTAATGAGAACAAGGGTGTAAATGTGTTAAATGCAGAGAACCGTGGGGTCTTTCTTTAAATGCAAAGATAAGTTAAGGAAAAAACAAAATGCTAGGGATATCAAATATTGCCAAATTAACACGCGCCTCCAGGGGTATAAAAAAAGGTCAAGCCTGAAAGATTAGGAGTACAATAATAAAATGCAAGGAGAAAGGAGATGGTATTTGCGCCTGAGATGATGCGATCAGGGGAAACTAAAATGGGATATAGATAGTTTGAAGTACGCGCTCAGTAGAAAGACGAAAGCGGATTGTATGCAAACGAGCATGAGAACAAAGGGTTCAAACCCAAAAAATTAATCGAGATCAATAACTTCAGGGGTGGAGGATTGCTTTGAACTGTCAGGGTAGAGTTGTTGCTGGCCATGATTATTTGGGGAGGTGATACTCAAGCCATCTTCCCGTTTCCGTTTCAACATGCCCGATTCGCTTGGCCTGTTATTATTATTATTGTTATTATTCCTTTCTGTCTTAGGTTCCCAGGATCCATCCGGGCGCACGAGTATCGCTTTTACATCTAATTGCTTGCCTTCGTCGAGTGTACGCCGGACCGTAACTAGGAAATCGTCAATGACCAGGGACTGGGGGCGGGCATCGTTGCCACAGATAGGACACTTCCAATCCTCTGCCATGCCGTATCCTTTCGATGCTTTAGACAAGCGCGTCATTAGAAATGTTTCAATGTCAAAACATTCCATATGTGGGCAAAACTTGGTCCGGGCGGGGGTGTCAAAAACCCGCGCCATAAAAGGATCCACTAGGTCAATCGTTATGTGGTCATCAACGACAGAAATATCGTCATCATCTGTATTTAATCCTGTAAGTCGATGCTTGATTTGGTCTAGAGATGTAGCGGATTTTTGATGCTGGATGAGCGAGCGGACACGGTTAAGCGAAGCGTATTCAAGTATTTCCAGAGCCACGGCATAAGACGATTTGCTGTTGTACTCTGGGGAGCCCCAGAGTATAGCTATCGATATCTCATTCACGCCTTCTTTGAGGGAACTCGTGACATTAAGCGGTATATCCCTTCCAAAATGCATTTTCCGGCGAACGAAATGCTCCATGCCATTAACGTGAATATATATAGCAGTAGGCCATGCAGTGTCCAATACAGCCCATTGATGCTCCGAGAGCTTTGGAATGGGAGAACTCGTTTTTGTGCACCGTATCTGATATGTTCGATGCCCATCCAGAACTCCCCATACGGGCGAACCATTCTTTGACACAGTTTTTCGTCGAAAAGGGAATTTTTGGAATTCCTCTGGCGGGATTGTGAACCGCAGTTTTCGGATTGGCGCTTGCAATTGCATGGGAAACAAAGCAAAGCTGTGAAGATACGGGAATAATGATGTTGGACCATTATTGCCTTCCTTGTCATGAAGCGCCACGATCTGCTCTTTCAGATAAGCTTGGTGGAGGCCATCAATAAGGGGATTTGGGTTAGCAGATTCCATGGGGAGAATTCCGGGGGGAGGCAGAAGTAAGTTGTTTGTTTTGGGATATAAAGGTTGCGCTGTAGTAGGGTGTGTTTGGGACAGCTGAGCGGATGGATGAACAAAGACATCGTTGCGCAACTGTGTATTCATGTTATGTGACAGGACAAACCGGGTCGAATTTGGGGGAACTTGGTTCGGGAGAGGTTGGGCGGTCATAGACCACCCCGCAGGGGGTGCTGGATGTGCACGTGTGTATGAGGGCACAGTCATCTGTGCTCTGTTGGGAACTGGCATTGAAGCATATCGTCGATTTGGCTGGAGAGAGTACTGGATAGGGTGTGATGCGAGGGGAGAGAATGGGGACGGGTCTTGGTGATAAGCACGCCGTATTGGAGGTTGTTGTTGCTCCTGAGTGACAGGGTCCTGAGTTTGGACCTGAGGACCACCACTGTCCGTTATTCGAAAATTAGCCCCCGTATTTTCTAGAGGCCACTGACGGGTTAATCGCTCCGTGTAATACCCGCTTAGGTAAAATATGTTGCTCCGATATCCGGAGATATTGTTGTCTGAGGAATTCGTTCTCAGCTTGGACCTGGGACAGAGGTATAGGATTTGCACTGTGCATTCGTAAGCGACGCTGTTGGTAATATTCCTCGTTTTTTCGGAACGTAGCGGTAAATAATTTGACAGGAACGTCATCCGTGGCTCCAGTAAGACGGCGACAGCACACCGTGAATATAACATATTGAAAAGTTGGTGTGGTGAGGCCAAGAATGTCGATCATCTCATCAATAAGTGGCGGATATCCTCGAGAAGTAATAGACGTTTCAAACGGCAACCAGGCACGTGCCATGGCTTCTAGAAAGCGTATAACCTGGTCTAAAACAGAAGAGTAAATCGAGCAATATCGAAGAAATTCTCCAATTAAGGTAGGGAATCTGGCGCATGCTTCGACAAAAGGCTTTGAGAGACATTCATTCCGTATCAGAATGCGCGAAACCAGCTCCAGACCTGCCATTTGGTAAGCTCCAAATTTAGAGGGATCTAAGGAACTAGGGCATGTTGTTTGTAGACAATACACCTGATGTAGGGCAATGTAGAACAAATCCCCTTTCTCACAAGCATTTCGTAGAAGGTGTATGCGGCTCTTCTCGCAAGACCCTGGTGCTGCCGAAATCCGATCAAGCAGAGGGATGAATCTTTTCGGGGAGATGGGCTCAGCGAACAAGAACTTCAGCAAGGAGGCGTGGCTTTTGTTCGTCATATCAGACGCGAGCTGAGGATTGGCCGGAACCACCTTCTGGGGCTGATATTGTTGAGGCATAGCTAAATTGCACGACAAAACCTGCGCGTGTCCACCCTGATGTGCTACTGAGATCTGTGATGTCCTTGGGATCTGTGATGTCCTTGCAACTCTGGCAGTTTGTGACATGGGCAATGATGAATGTCCCATGTCATCTGCGGATGCAAATGACGGGGATATTGTTTGCAGTTCACGCTCAACCAGCTGTGGGGGACCTGATTGATGTGGGGAAAGAGAAACTCCCTCTGGAATGAAGTGGTCACTTGGTCTCGTCTTGCTGGAAGCTCTTGTGGAGCATCCATGGTTCGAATCTGGAGATGGGAGCACACCAAATTGGCGATCGGCAATAGACACGCTATGAGATGCCTGCGTGGGACACGAATTAGAGATATGAGGAGATGCTGAGGCCGATACAGGTGCGGGTGGGGAGGGGATGTCAGGGGACACAGGAGAGATCGGTAGCTCCTTCGACGAGAGCGCATCGGGTCCACTTTGGCCTTGTGTATTATTGGGGGTGGGATGCTTGACAGTATCTGATGTTGAACGTCTTTCATTATCCATCTCAATATCCCTAGGCTGGAAGGGGACTTGGGGTTTTTGGTTAGGTGCGGGAGAGGGAGTTGACCGTTTCGACGGTGGGGCGATGCTCGTTTTGGAGTTTGAGTTTGAGTTTAACATCCATGGCTTTTGCCGGCACCCTACAAATTTGTTGAGTGTTGAATTTAAAGAAGTCAAGTTAGAATCGCGAGAATCAGGGGATTGGCGGCAGTTATGAAGACGTTGTGGTGACCGCATTGTCAACTCTTTTGATGTCAGGGAAGCATGTTTAGGCACGGCGCGATCTACAAGATCAGAGTTGGAAGTTGATTCTAGATATCCAATCCTGGAAGTGGTTGGGCGAGCGCCACATCAGCTGACCCCGCAAGTCACAGGATCAAAATTTTTGAAATGGTCAAAGACATTTTGAAGCACAATGAAGGATTTTAAACAGTAATTTTTGAATAACATTTAGTATTGGCTAAATAATCGTTATGAACCTGCTGCATGACTGCGGATCTTATTGGACGTTTTTATATTATAACTGCTAGGAGCAAGATGTTATATAGCTGCACTTGTGCATTCAATGGCCGATATTTTTAGATCATTCTGATTTCATCTGAGACTAAAATTACTAGTATCCTACTCCGTACTGTACATGTATGTATGTACATTATTGTGAATCTCCTATGCAATAGTGGTTGCATTCACTAATACAAAAACGCTGGGCAACAAGCAAAGAACTCTCCCGGGCTTGTCCTTTCAATTACCAATTATAGTACTTTATTGTAGAACAGTGATACTTTACTTCTCAATTGTCACAGATGAAATATGATTCAAAAGATTAGAAATATTACATTCAACATTTAAGTCCGATTTGTTTTACTATCTTATCAGAGTGAAGAACCCTTCTGTGTGAACATTGATATTGCTCAGAATACCTTTCCCCCGTTGGCGCAACCTGCGGAACATGTCGCCAGGTTAACACTGGTGTTATCAAGAGCTACTAGGTAGTAACCTTTATGGCCAAAAATCATGGGTGGTGGAAAGAGGCGGAAGAGTTGGGGTCTCCATGCTGATTGCTAGTCAAAGCCAAGTCAAGCCTCGCTGGGTTCTTGGCGCCTTTTTCGACTTGGCCTTCTATTATATGCTCATTGTTTATTTAGGAGTCCTCATGGAATCTTTGTTTGAGGAGATTTTATTGTGTAGGGAGGATCTACTCTACTGACCATGTGATATCATCAAAAGCCCAACATCGTCTTCTAGGATATAGCAATAAAGATACCGCCAGGCAACAGCAGGCCTACCGCCCCTCGATCATCCTCTTTGCTCCCACCATTCGCGTCGACACCTCTGCTGGAGCCGTATCGACTCGCCCTGCCGTCTGTTCTAACTATCCCCCGGGTCATCATCGAGATACTACAAGTCGCAAGAGTTAAAATCAACACGGCCTTCTACAGCTCAAGGTACGTGATACAAATACAAAGCTCCTCTGAACCCCTACCGATGTCGCCCACCCTTGATAAAATCTCACCCATTGAGGGCTGGCTCTTTGAACAGTATGTAAAAAAAGCTTGTGATGACGCGTGGTCTATTGAGCGATATTCAAGGAAAGTGGTATACCACGCTACCTCTGAGCCAAAGATGCTTTAGCATACTATAGAGTACTCACTGGTGTCTTTGACATACACATTGTTGTGGACGATGTTAAGGAAGCAGCGGATGCACTTATTGAAAGAGGCTGGCACCCTCCACCTCCTGACTTTGAAGCACAGTACATTGTTACTGAAGAGGTCACTTGCTATCTTGTTGAACTGCAAAGTAAGAGTGTGAGCGTCCTTGATTCTGTGGTTGCTCTTACTGCAGTCTCCGACTGGGATATCAAGCTTCCAGACATTGCCATGCAAGAAAAGCTGGTAGCCCCAGAGAACCATCAGATGGCCCTTTATTCCACCATTACATCAACTTCTAGATTCCTTCATCAGGAAATAGCTGGATACTTTAGACATGCACCTTTTTTTCTGCCGCCGCATAGGCTGCTTTTTAGGCTATCTGTATGACTATATTCTAATTTTAGAACTCAGAGAATTTGCAGATTACTTGAAGATGGGGCATCAACAGTGCCATTTTGATGTGATTGCAGGGTCAGCTATACTAGACAGCCGTTTAGGATTCATTCAAAGAAGATTCGAGACTCCATACTCAGAGGGGAGTGTGAATTTTGTGAGTGCTCAGTTTCAAGGGATGATGAGCGATTTTCCAGAGCTGGTGTAGATGCACAGCTGCTGGCTATGCTTCCACCTGCAAATCACAAATGAATCATATATTATCTAGCTTTCACAATCACTGTTGTTTTAAGTGATGTGATTATGCAATTATTATTTCAAACACCCCTTTCTCGTATTCTGCTGAGGAACCTTACTTGCAGTTCACACCTATACATGACTCAAATTTATGATACAAACTTGTTTCATTCACAGTTGAATGATCTTATTTCAAGCATTCAGTTATTCGATATGTATTGACCTAAAACATCCCATAAGATCAACAGCCTATCAATGGTGCGAGCGCAGGTGTCGGTGCTGTCGCTGAATGTACGTACCTCTTGCCCTTGTAAGTGGACGAGGAAATTGCTGCGTAGAATTCAGGACCAGGTTGATTACCAACATACACTGTTTAAAATTAAAAATTGTTAGTATACTGTTGAGCTATAGCCTGTATTATTGTATGCTTTTATTCATGGATTACACATATAAATTATGAGATTGACATTCAGGTTACAGTATTATCATCACAATATATATTTGATATTTTTCACCAAAAGTTGTAAATGATATAAAGCACTACATTTTTATTTTAAGACATGAACTGTAGTAATAGAAAATAATGTATTCAAAAGAAGTTATTCAAATATTACAAAATAATCAATTTTTCTCATAGAAATGAGAAAATAACATCTAGTAATCTAAATATATCACATATAAATTTATATGAGAAAATATTCTCAATTTTTACACATGTACTCCGTAATACAACTATCGAACCGTAAACTTCTAGGTAACTAGCGCGCGTAAGGATTTCTGCTGTGCCTAGAGGGTTGATCACGGGATTGGGGCCTTGTTCTGGTGCTCAGGGTTCTTGCGCGTGCCCGGACCCTTATGGGAGCATCCAGAACTCGCCCACAGAGCCAGAATGCTAATCCCGCCCATCCCATCTAACATCCCTGTTTCAACGGCCTACTATTACTCGTACACTTGTGTGCGTCGATTCCATTCGGTCGAGGCGTGGTGTTGGACGTGGCAGGATCAGAGTCTGTTGTTGGCCCTGATTTAGTTATCCCTCTCCACCACGTTCATTCCCATCCGCCTTTGCTTCGATCTCCTACGCATTTTGTATCTGCACCCCAGAGCTACGCAAGCCCATTCTCCTCGACCGCTGTTATCCTTTTTTTCTTCTTGATATCTTCTCGATATATATTGACATATTCATAATCCCATCCTTTTTTCCCCTTCAAGACTTTGTCCTTTCTAATTTAGGACCTGTGTGGTCCGCCGTTTTAAAAACGTAAATTATTCCTCGATTTTGGAACTAACTACGCCTACGTGTGTCTTGGGCGACGGAGGAGTGTCCCATGCCCATACGCAGTAGACATCTATCGATTGACCGTTTACTCAACATACCATTCATTGATTGCTTCACGAGCCATCCCTCAACCTCGGATCAGACAACAAGAGCACTCACTATTTCCATCTACGATTCCTTAAATATTCTTCTCTGAAAGACCGGTTGTGCAAATCCCAGTTCCCACCCGTTTTGCGAGCCGCGAATCTTTGTATTCTCAATGGTCTTATTCCTTCTCTCACCCAGACGACCGACCACTTCCGTTTCCACGACTTCGCCACCGGTTCTTACTTTGTTCTGGCAATGCCCCATACACCTGAGCTTCCACAGGGCATATGCCCAGGAGATATTTTAATAGTTGTCCGTTAGTGTATACCATTCTCCTCAGTTGCAGTTCCCGGCTCTGATAACATCATATGTGATAGATGACTTCCTAGCTCGGGGAGCGGACGAACTGACCCTTCGCCGAGGAGACAAGGTTGAATTACTAGAGCTAGACGAAGGTTTTGGTGATGGATGGTATTTGGGGAAACATGTGGCTGAGAATAGAACTGGACTTTTTCCCGGCGGTAAGAACCCTTTGCTTCCCTCAGACGTGGTCATCGCTGATAATTTGATGTTGTAGTTTATACGACAACCATCCCAAAGTTGGGCGTTCGTCAACAGGCCACCACAGCGTCGAATTCCACTATTGCATCGAAATCCCGCGGAAACAACGAGTCCCCAGTATCACCTACAGCGTTAGGAGCCACCTCAGAACCCGCATCTCAAACACAAAATGAAGATTCAAACTCACAAGCGTCACGCCAATTTAGTGGTGCTGATTTTAAGCCAACTACTGAAGATCCCACAGGTGATGCCACAATACGACTCGGACAACAACAGGGTCCCAACATATCGCATCGCTCTTCTTCAGCCCCCCTGCTACCGACCGCGCAAAGAACTGTCAGTGAAACTATGTCTCGTCGAAACGGAGATGATAGCCCAGTGTTAAATGAAACCTTGAGCGTTATCAATGAACACATCTCAAATTTCAACACCCCGCGCCACAGCGTCGTTGCGCAGGACCCAAGGAACCCGAATGATTCTGGCAGTGAATACAGCAGCCATCCAGACCATAGATTGTCATACATCCCTGGAGTAGAAACTGATGAAGAAGAACGGGGTACTTCTTTAAACGAATACACTGTCAGGAGTTGGGACCACCACCAGACTGCTCGACATCTTCAACACATTGGTATGGATCCGAACCACTGCCAAATTTTCGAGGAACAAGAAATCACCGGAGACGTCTTGCTGGAGATGGACCAAGAATTTATTTACATGAAGGAGTTTAACTTTGGGGTTATGGGGAAACGATTGAAGAGTTGGCATATAATCAAAAGCTTCCAAGAAGAGATCAAAGGGATCAGACAGCCGCGACAGTCCTCGTCTACATTCTCGGGTAGAGATCGCTCTTCTGAGGAGTTCGATCGGTCTCAGAGTCGAGCTGGAGGCTCTCTCCTTCCCAGAATACCGAGTATTAATGAAAGCCCTGATCACAGTTCAAGACGGCCGAGAAGTGCGTCTAGAAAACATTCTTCAGGGACAACGGTCTCTGCATCCTCAACTCCGAGCAGCAACGCTGCTTCGGTGCCACCCTTGAATCAATCCATTGGCTTAAGTGGCTCTTCGAGACCGTCAGCAGCGTCAGTTCGCCAGATAAACTACCCTCGCCCCCATTCATCGATGGATGGTTCTCAAGCATCCCCTAACCAGAGGACGAGGTCAGCACATGGCGCTCCTAGAGGCAAAAAAACTTCCTTTGACAGGGGTTGGACCATGGCAACTGGATCTCAGGCTGTAAACAATCAGCCCGAGAACTTGGTCAGCGCCAGTTACAACTCTGAATCCTTTCTCCAGCGGACGTTAGACCCTCTTAGCAATAATGAATCCGACTCGTCTCTCATTGTGGATTCTGCGGATTTGGATAGAGGGTATTTCTCGGGTGGTGAAATAGATATGAGGAAGTCTCGAAAAGTCCTTACTAAACGGGATTCTACTAGCATTGGAGAAGATTTGAAGCAAGTCCGTGTTAGTCGACACTCGCACTTTGGTAGTGACCCCAGGGATTTTTTTCCACATATTCCAAACAAAGTTAACCAAAGCAGTCCGTCAAGTACGAAATTCAGTGACAAGGACGTCAATTCTAAGGAATCGTTTGGAGACCTGGCCCATGCTCCTCCTGTAACCAACTTAGAAGAGAAAAACACTAGCCCCAGCTCTGGGATATTTTCTGCACTATCCCCACTCCACTCGAAGACGAATGGTGAAAGCTCCGGGCGTTCCTCCCCCTTACCATCGTCGCATCTCAAAAACGTTGCTCCCAAAGTTCGTCGTGCCCTAGGTTTACGTGCGGTCTCAGACTCTGTCACTGGCAATGAGAAAGCAATGGCATTGTCATCTCCTACTTCTGCGTCTACGTCAAAAGACTCACAGAAGTCGCCCTCTAGGACAAATTCTAGTACTCCATCTGGCACGTCTAAAAGCTTCGAAATGGAGAGCACAGATAGCTCCACGAAAACCGTTGAAGGAGGCTTTGCATTGGTGACAATGTCAAAGGCTTCCAATCCCCGCTCAAAATCAAAGAAAGATACTAGTGCATACATGCGCGGTCTAGAGAAGAAGACCCCGCAAGAACAAATGATTGGATGCGATTATTATGGCTGGATGAAGAAGAAGTCCTCGAATCTAATGACTACATGGAAGCCGCGGCTTTTCGTTCTTCGCGGCCGTAGACTCTCGTATTATTATTCAGAGGATGACACAGAGGAACGGGGCCTAATCGATATTTCCTCACACCGCGTATTCCGTGCTGATCAAGACACCATCACGGCACTTCACGCTACACTCACTGGAGCAACAGCCTCCCCGACCTCCCCAAGTAATTGGAATAACGGGAATGCTCCCGCCGAAGCGGATTCGCTGTCAAAAATGTCTCAGTCGTCCCCCAGTGATGCGCCGTTCATCTTCAAGCTGGTTCCACCAAAGGCTGGGTTATCGAGGGCGGTTCAGTTTACGAAGCCCTCCGTCCACTTCTTCCAGGTCGACAACGTCCAACAGGGACGTTTGTGGATGGCGGCATTGATGAAAGCTACGATAGAGAGAGATCTCAATCTACCAGTTAAGACCACAAATAAACAGAAGACAATCAGTTTGAAACAAGCGCGCGCGACCAACCAACGTCCGCCGGCTCTCATGGGTCCCGAAAGCATGGAGAAGAAGTTACCATCACCGTCCTCTAAGAGCAACACCGATGGGACCAACGGGGACCAAGTGACCGGGGGCTTGAATATTATTGAATCTCCGGAGGGAAGCATTGACAGAAACGAACCTGAGCCTGGGCTGACGACAGTCGAAGCAGGCGGTAGTGAATCCTCTGAGCCGATTCATGTGTCTATTTTAAACTCAAATCAGGAGACTGCTTCTTAATGACGATCTCTATTTTCGTTTTTGCATTTCATATCACATCTAATCCGTTTTGTAACTGAAGTGTATATGTGGGATAAGGGATATCTTAATTTTATAATGATTGAATTTTTGCTTCTCACTTTATTTGATAACGGTCAACGCCACCACATCCCTGGATTTTTTTTTTTTTTTTTCCATTATTCCCACTTTTGTTGACGGCTGTCGAATTTTCTTCTCTATTTCGCCCTCCGCCACCCCCGGGCGGACCCACCAAACCCCCTCCTCTTTCCTTCTCCTTTTCTTTCACCCGAGTTGAGACATATGGTACCTATGATGTAGATCCTTAAAAGATATTTTTTTTACCCGTTGACGATATGAAGAGATACGAGGAGGACACAGATGAGACATGAGTCGGCAGGTTTTGCAGAACAACCAGCACTTAGTTTCAAGAATGATGAACACTTTTCTTGATTCTGAAGTATTTTCTCTCCCACGTAGCTGATTTTGATCACTTTCCTTTTAAAATTGCTAAAAATAAACAAACCAAGAAAGGTGGTGGTAAAAATGATTCAAAAAAATATTAAAAAAAAAATGTCTAAATGTTAAATCTTGTATGGAGGATGATGTACGGGCTTTACTGACGAATAATTTGCCTTCTAAACACTGGCTATTTAAGACTGTAGAGGGACGTACAAGCCGTGAGAGTTACATTAGTTACCCAAACGCTTCTGCTTATAGAGGATTCTCTCAATTGAAGGGAAACCATCCTGCTGTATAACAATTCTATATAAGGGCATCTATCTCTATATGGTTAATTTAGGATCTGGCGGATAGCTACCGTTCACTCTTCAGAGGCCTTGATGGCTTTTGAGCGCTGCTGTGGAACTCTTTTTTGAGGATATGGCTATGTCTGAGCTTCTACCGTATTTCTAGTCATTCTATTGCGAGGTCCAGCTGTGCTCTATATGATCATATCGCGAGATCGGGCTCTTTCTGAGATTTCAGAGCGCTTCGACTGCGTACGGAGTAGCTGCCCAAGAGATCAACTAAAATCTATATACTATTAAGTATCTCTACACCGCACCGGTGAGTAGGAGCTGCCTGGATAGAAAGAAATAAAAAGCGCATATACTAACTATCCCTACACCTAGTTGAAATTAGTAAACATTGGCTGGTTGTCAATATCCAATATACCTCCTTTTCCGAGGCTGGCGTGATTTTGACAATTCTGGTCAAATCACGGGTGAAATCAAAAGGTTGAATTGAAGATACTACTCAGGAGTCAAGGATACCTTTTAGATTCAAGAATCTATGTAACAGGTTGTAAATAAAGTGAGTTGGATGCTAGCAGATATTGCCACTGTTCCCCATTTTCTGTTTTGATTACATCTGGGCATCATATGATTGAGATTCATTGACTGTTGCAGGTACGGGCCGTCGCACCTTCAATCATGGTTTTAACCCGGAAGCGCTGGCAGCACCAACTGCTCAGCATCTCCCGCTGCTCCGTGTTTCCGCAAAACATTATTTGAGTTTGACAGAGCGCGAGGTGCCAAGGGAGGACGATGAGGCTAAATTTATAAATATAAACATTTCGCCTGAGCCGTCATACCAACGCGCTCCAAATTTCCTTTCTTGTTCGTTTTATTCATTCCTTCACTGTTTAAGGTGGTTATTTCCATCTCACGAGTAATTTGAATATAAGTGGAGATAAATCAAACGCTCCTAATGCGTGCATCTCTATGTCCCTGCCGACGACCCTCCGCCAGCTTCTCTCCTCCCTGCTCCCTATCTCGATAACATCGATAGTCTACCTCTACTCGTACCCCATATTCCATGGTTGTAATTTCCCCCCTACAGCCCCGAGTGCTTCGAGCAACCTTTCTTCTCCTCTTCCAATCCTAAATACCCTCCGCCAACATGTCGATATCCCTCACCTTGACATGTCCAAGTACACCGGGGCGGCGCCTTTCCGCCTCCTTGTCCTCGCCGACCCCCAGCTAGAAGGTGACTCGTCCCTCCCAAATCCAAAAGACAGCTTCCTAAAGCGTCTGGCCGGTTACCGAGAAGCAATTACATCTGCAGATACTTGGGACGATGTCCTGCTTGCGATCCTGGGCAGTCTCCGGGACATGCTGCTAGTCGATCTCCCACGTTCGCTCAGAGCGACACGCAAACGGATAGACCTCTTCGGCAATGATTTCTACCTAGCTCATATATACCGGTCGTTGCATTGGTGGTCGAAACCGACGCATGTTACTGTGTTGGGTGATCTGATCGGGAGCCAATGGGTGACCGATGGGGAATTCGAACGGCGCGCGTGGAGGTATTGGAACCGCGTTTTTCGTGGTGGCGTTAGGGTCGATGACGACATTACCATCACGGGTAGTGAGGATGTACATGGGAGGGATGTGAAGGTGGTTGAGGACTTACCATTAGATATGCAAGGTGGCGACGGAACTACTGGGCCATGGGAACGTCGCATTATCAATGTTGCCGGGAACCATGATGTTGGATACGCGGGCGATATCAGCGACGTTCGCA